AAATAAAGAACTCAAGTTATTGATTTGTGAAAATAAGTTGGGAATCTCCTTAATTACAGATCCTGGCCTGTTTTCATAAATAGAAAATTGTTTATTTTATCACAGTAAACATTCTGACCTTTTAAGCTTGCCAAGTCTATGAACTTATTATTCCACACTGTAGAATATGTGATACTTAGTAGGTGCACTAGCATTCAACAAACATTCAATGGCTGAAGAGGAGTAATCCAGACAAGGCAGACTTTACTTTCAACCTCCAAGCTGCTTAAGGTAGTTTTGGATGTGTTTGGATGTAGCATCTGCTGTAGAAGGTCTGGATATTAAAGGATGACTAGAAGATTCCAGGCTTAGAGTCTACAAGAGAGGGAAACCTGGACAGATGGGTCACAAGCAAATTATTGCCATCATCCTACCAGGATAATTGTGGGTCCTGTTTAGGAACCAGACACCATTTTGACTGAAGGAAAACATATAAGCATTAAAATATCCACTACTCTAGCTCTTAGAAAGTTCTCTTGACAAGGAGCATCTGCACTCTGTGCTCTTAGGGATTACCATCACGATGGGATCTGGAAACCTGACTTGCTGCTGCTCCACGGGAAACTGCTGGATAAGAAAACATTCATTGTTGCCCAGGGCTTCGTGGCTTATAGTGTCAAGCCAGGAAATTCTGGGGAGTTCAGTGCTGAATCCATGATTGGAGGTACCTCCATCAGCAGTGAGCAGTTCCTACATCTCTGAGCAGACACCAAATCTATGGAAAAAAACCTCATCCAGTTGTTCATTGAAGTAATACAAAGGTTCTTTGGATCTGAAAGGCTCTCTGAACTCCAAGATGCTGGAGACCTTTTTTCCCCAATGGACTGTCATTGACCTTGGACTAAGAGGTTGTTGAAGTTATTCGCACATAGGAATCCTTTATTAACACAATCACTGGATAGGGACATAGATGACAACAGTTGAAACAGGCTCGCCTACTTTAGCCACAACCAAAGAATCTCATATTTGGAATTAGGAATGCACCGATACCGATACTAGTATCGTGCCGATGCAGAGTATTTGGGCAAGTACTCATACTCGCCCAAATGCTCTGATGCCTAGCCAGATACTTCCGGTATCAGGAAGTCAGGCACGAGTCATTAAACACTGCCCAGCTTCCTGATTGGTCGGGAAGCTGGCCAATCAGGAAGCCGGGCGCCGTGTAATGACGCGTCACCCGACTTATTGTTTGGCCGGGAAGCAGGGGGACGAGGGAGCATGGAGCCGACTTCCTGATTGGCCAGAAAGCCGGCTACATGCTTTCTCGTGACCTAGTGACGAGAAGGATGGGGATGGCTTCCCTGCTAATCAGGAAGCCACCTGGCTTCCTTAATAGGACTTCCGGTATTGGTATTCGGTATCGCCGAGTACAGGAAAAAAAATATCGGTACTCATACACGATAATGAAATACCGGTATTGGTGCATCCCTATTTGGAATCATCCTGAACCTCTGTCACAGGGAATGTTTTCTCTGTTGTCTGAAGAACCCTGTTGGAAGACTCTTAGGATCATTTCAAATGGTGAAACTAGACTTGTGGAGGCTATAAACTTGAGACAATGGGACACGAAGGAGACGGATAGAGACTTGACCTGCCTCAACAAAACACTAGACCACTTGACTTTCCCCCTTGGCGATTGCTTTTAATTTGATCAGCGCCTAACTTAAGATGGTTCCGTGGAATGCCAGAGTATGAACAATGCCAGAGTATGAGCATCAGCAGGATGTTGCTGCAATAGCTGGAATACTTGTTCACTCAAGAAGGCTGTGACTGGATGTAATATTTGGAAAAGACCTAGGATTGTGGGAAGGCCAAAGGACAGGCAAACAAACTGAAAGTAGAACTTTTGAATGGTAAGCAACACATTTGATGAAGTATAGGTGACCAGGAACATGAATACACATCTGCCAGGCACAGTAACCTATAGCCCAGGGCTCAAAATTTCAGGTCCTGGGCTACTAGCCAGGCCTTAAAAGTTACTCGCCACCGGTTGCCCTGCCTGACCCCACTCCATCCTATCCTTCTTGTGCACAGATGTACCGAGTGTACCTGGGAACAAACTAATCATTCTCTTGCTGGACCAATACCGGGCATAGCACAAACACACGACACAAAACAACATGCAGCGCATTACACATACGTACAGCACAACATGCAGCACATTACACATACGCACAGCACAACACGCAGGGCATACATGCAGGGCATACCAGCAGCATTACACGCAGGGCATACCAGCAGCACTACACGCAGGGCATACCAGCAGCATTACACGCAGGGCACACCAGCAGCATTACACGCAGGGCACACCAGCAGCATTACACGCAGGGCACACCAGCAGCATTACACGCAGGGCACACCAGCAGCATTACACGCAGGGCATACCAGCAGCATTACATTACACAAACACATTTGCTCATATTAATCAATACATTTGTGTGTCCAAACTGTATAGATCCTGTGGCACAGAAGGGGTTAATGACTGCTCTAACTTCTGCAGTTTACTCACAGTTACAGCATATTTATTACAGGTATTTATATAGCGCCGACAATTTACGCAGCACTTTACATAGTTGCACATTCACATCAGTCCCTACCCTCAAGGAGCTTACAATCTAAAGTCCCTATCTCACATATATAAAAAATGTTTTCAGAGAGGAGCCAATTAACCTACCAGCATGTCTTTGGAGTGTGGGAGGAAACCAGAGCACCTGGAGGAAACCCACGCATGCACAGGGAGAACATGCAAACTCCTTGCAGATAGTGACCTGGCGGCGGTTCAAACCAGGGACCCCACAGTGCTACAAGGCAGAAGCGCTAACCACTACGCCACTGTGCTGCCCATCAATTCATTAAGAAACTACCATGCCCCTGAGACCTTATTGCTAGCCAAAAGGTCTACTTATGTGTTCTTAGGCCAAGTATGGACTGCCCTCGCAAGTAAGAGCCATTACTGGCCTATGGGTCTGCCAGGGCAATACTCTGTAACCAACTGCCATAGGGCTAGAGGGGAATTTGTGGATGTAGCCGCTTGACTGGGCTAGTAATTGACAGTTCATCAAGTACACCACCTCTGTTTAAGGCTTCAGACCTCCACCTTCCTGCCTCTTTATTTACTGCTGCCCCTTGGGATGCATTTAGCTAGCTGGACTACAATAGCAGCATCTTGCATTGCAGGATCTTGCATCTGCTTTATCACAGCTTGAAAAGGACCTTTCATCCCAAATTGAGCAGCTTACTCTGTCTTTGGGGAGCAGTACTGGTAATGAGAGTTATAATCCAGAATTCCATGCATGTGCACTCTGAGTAGCAGTGGTGGCAAAGGGCTGGAGAGATTTACAATCCATTACCCCTGCATATGCACTCTGAGGAACAGTGCTGTCAATAGGGTGAAGAGATTTACAATTCATTATGCCCATGCATTTGCACTCTCTTTTTTATTTGTTATCTTCATACCTACCTGACCCTCACCTTATAGAATGTAGCTGGTCTCTTGGGGAAGGAGGTTAATGACATTTGGTAATTGAATACATGATCCAACCTTTGCTAACACAGATAAACTGAAGAGGATGATATGATTAAACAGTACCTGTCAGAACCTGCTTGACCCGAACAACAATGCTGTTTACCTGGAAGCCACATTCTTATGTGCTCAAGGTTATAGCACAAAAGGATCTTGTCACTAACAACACTGCTCTATACATAGGACCATGAAAAAGATTACTGAATAACAGGCAGACTAAGCCTGCAATGAAGCAACAACTCCATAAGTAACATATAAAACATTAACAGCACTGAGGAACCACAGGTGACTGCAAAATACTAACATGAAAGGCACCAAAAGAGTTAAGGCACAAGGTTGAAGCTGACAGAGTTAGCAAACAACACATTTCTGTAACATCCAGTTAAAGCTTTAGTAGCAAAGCACCACAAGCATGCAAATTGATGCTTTAGGCAAAAACATGCAAGATTTAGCTAAGGCATTAGTAGCACCACAGAATCACATACTTCCCTGCAATGTACCTGTAAGGTTTAAGCACACATGGAAAACTGAATGGATTTACAGATATTCAGAAGATTCAGCCAGAGCAAGCAGCACTGCAAAGCCATAGGAAATAGTAGCACATTAATTTCTTAAACTAATTTTTTTAAAATTTGAGTGGATCCTACTTGTCACGCATGTGATCATTCCAGTACAATCATAGTTTCTGATGATGCAGCTGAGTCACGGTTCTTCTCTGCAGTCACAAGACGAGGAGGCTAAGCAAGTGTTTAACCCACTGCTATTCCCTTATAAGATTGCATTTAGCCACCTGAACACAGGGAACTTCGCAACAGGAGAGGCTGAACCTGTGCGGCAGGCCAGAAGAAACCGGCAAGGTGAGGGCAAAAATCTAAATATTCTTAGTATAATCGGCTTGAGCAGTGAGGACAGAAAAATAAATGGATGCCTTGGGAGGCGTGCTTTATTTATAGTATAACTGGTCCTGTGATTGGGCTGGGGGTGGAGCCATACCCATTTGTATGCTGCCATGTGGGTGTCAGGAAATATATATATACACACACACACAGGTTGAACTGGATGGACCTCACCTACTATGTTACTTGGCTCCAGTCTAAATCACCGTAGCCCATGTGTATGTGAAATAGAAGCCTTAGATTGTAAGCTCCTTGAGGGCAGGGACTGATGTGAATGCATAAATTTGTAGTATGCGCTGTTGGCGCTATATACATGCATTAAATAAATAGTTAATACCATGCAACAACAGAACTTGCTGTCACTTGAAATTTGTATATGCAGATAAACAGATTTTCTATAACATGTACAATCTACAAATCAAATTACACATATATTTAACCATTTTATAGGGCACATGCAGTATGTCCCCCGCAAATGTAATAGGAACCTATTACGCAAATGTTACACAAATTTTACATTTGAGGTATTCTAAATTTCTTACCATCATCCAGAGTGATGTCCTGCAAACCAACAGTCTGGAAATGCAAATCACCATCATTCTCAGGCTCCTCAGAAAGTGAGTTGTCAGGATGGAATGAAGAAGAGTTCTGAACTGCATGGTGCCCAAGAGTGACAGGGCAGGGAAGCCTACTCAGTCCAAGTCTATGCGTTTGAGCAGAAAGTTGTCCAGAATGAGCCATGGGGTTGAGTGTTTGTGATGAAGCTGCTACACCTAAAGTGGGAGGTTTGAACTGCATTTTTTGCAGCTGAGGATTGGATGAACTAGACACAGGTAAGCATGTTAATGAAGTGGAAGCAGCACCAGTTGGGGAAGAGGTAGGGCAAGGTTTTGTAAGGCGGTGAAAAACAGATGTAACCTGAGGTGGTGAATGCACAGTCAATTGATTTGTTGAAGTGATGGTATTTTGCCCAGTGTTTGGACAGTGGTAACTGATCTGTTGAAGCTGTGGTGATTGCATTACATTGACCGATGGTTCAGAAATGGAAGGTGATGAGGATGAAGGAATTGTGGTGGAGGCACGGAACTTTGTAATTGCCACGGAGTGATGGCTAAGGCTGAGCTGCTGAGGTACAGCCATTTTCTGTTGAAAATGCAAGGGATCATACTCCTGGGCAGTAGCAAACTGAAGAGCAGGACTTGATTGTCCACCGTACATTACATTAGACTGCATAGACACATCTGAAGATCTAGTAGCAGAAGCAGATAAATTATATAACTGCTGCAATGTTGAAGATAGGCATTCTGATCTCCCATTAATGCTTCTCCCTTGTGAAAGGTCTGGAACTCTCTGGTTCATCAGGGCTGAGTATGCTGTTTGAGAAGGGCATCCAAGACCCTGTTCCAAAGAGGACATGATATTCTCATGGTTATATCTGTGACCAGTACAAGGCATATTGGATTGCAGAAAATGTTGGTTAGGAACACTAATCACATGGGGCGGGGGTGCATCAGACACAGATGGCAGATTATCTTCTTTGGTGCCTTTTCCTTTCTGCAAAACTAAAAAAAATACCAGTAAGAAAAGATTTCGTATGTAATACTTAAGTTTGCTTGGCATTTTTATATGAAAATACTGAACTTGGCATAGAGGCTGTCCTAGTCAATTTATCCTTCTAAAAATACTAGTTATTTGGCTTTCATACTGATCCACTGGCTTCAATACTTTTTCTGTCATTAACCTGGAAGCAGTGTTAATTTAGTCGACCAAGATGTTTCGTCATAGTTTTCGTTATCTGTATGTTTTCACTGATGAAAACTAAATAAAAAACTAAGTTAATAGGAGGAAAACTATGACGAAAATACATTGCAATTGTCTCTACTGGAGATTTAGTCGACGAAACTAAACTAAAACAATTCAGATTCACATTCTAAAATAGTTTTTTTGTTTTAGTTTATTCGATTAAATCTCCTGTAGAGACAATTGCAATTTATTTGCGTCATAGTATTCCTCCTATTAACTTAGTTTTTATTTCGTTTTCATCAGTGAAAACATGCAGATAACGAACTTATTAGGATCATACCGGCACCACAACCCAGGATAATTGTGGTGCCGATATGATCGGTCATTAGTTTAAGTGAAGTGTCAAGTGAGGATGCACAGGTGGTTAATTTAGTGCCACCAGGTAACGATGGTAAAAATGTCTCTGCTCGTACACCTGAGTCCTGTGGACAAAAGGTGGTAGGGGTGACCAAAAGTCGAAATGTGTTAAATCCCCTAGAGACAGTGAGTAAAGCAGCAGAGGTGTCCTTGGAAACCTTTTAAGGAGACATGTGAGCTGGAGACAAAGGTTATCCAGGACAGCTATGGTGCTGTCCTGCTGGCCACAGTTGACATTTCAACTAGTAATGGGAATTAGTTAAAGTTGAGTGACATCTTTGAAAATATTGCTTTGTTTAATGGAGAGCCCCAAGCTCACAGTGGTGACCATGTGTTTGGTGTATCTGCAGAGCTAGAGGCTCATTATTATGAGGAAAATGTTATGTCTAATGATGTAATTGCTGGAATGAATAATGGTATTGATGTTCAGCTGGGTGATGTAGTGCCACCAGCTCAGACTAGTGCAAATGTGGTAAAACTGCAGGAGCTGTATGAACACAAGGACACCCCATCTGTTGTGGTGACTGAGAAGTTAATGCCTAACACCCAGTCTTTGGTGTCTCCTTGGAGAGAGGTATTGGAACAATGGGATAATTTTGATGTGAGCCCAGACAATGTAAATTGGTATAGGTTGCTTGAATGTTTGTTGCCTCTAGGTGGAGATGTATTGTCTGAGACCCCAGAGATAAACAAGCATAAGGTATTGGTAAACAAAATGGAATCAAACATAAAACATGTTTGAATCGCCCTAAATGGTGATCCTGTTTTAGACAGTGACGGGACGCACAATATTTCTGCTTTGTCAGAAAGAGGGGCTGCTAATTGGCTTGTAGACGAAGGCGCGTCTGCCTAAGCAGCTGATATAATTCATCAGGTGGATGAGTCTAATAAAAGTGAGGATGCAGCAGAAAGTTTGTCTGAGACCCAGGAAAGGGTTAAAAGGATGTGTCAGGTTTTCCTAAGGGGGGAACAGCCCCCTTAGTGCAGTTGCCAGTAGTAATGGAGAACTGTGAAGATGCAATTGAAGAGGATCGTTCCCAGGGGTGTGGTTCCTCTGCAGATCCAGTGTTGCCCAACTGTGACATTGATAATGGTGAGATGGGTGAAACATATAATGACATGACAAATTGTAAGGGTTTGGTTACCACAGATAACCATGAAAATACTTATTTGTTGGAAAAGGATGTTTTTGTGTTAAACTGTGGAGGGGTGAACATATCCGCTGTCCTAGACCAAGGGGCTGCTGATCACTTTTCAGAACAGGGGGCGTGTGTTGCAACAGCAGGTCCCTCTAGAGTCGGAAGGGCAGAGACAAAAGAAGACCAGTGGAAATGTTACCTGTAACCCAGGAGGGGGTTAAAAAGGAAATAGGGAAGATCCCAGAAGGTACTGATGTAATGGCAATGATGAATGTGATTCATGTACAAACTGACAAAGGTGGTACTATAATAAAGCAAGAGTGAAACGACACCAAAACTGATTGGTTTAGTAATATGGAAGTGGTGACCAGAAAATTCCCTACTGGCAAGGACTTGAGTCTTGACCGGAGTGAGGTAACTGAATGGGTCAATAGGAAGACTGCAAGGGACCCCAAAGTGATCGCCGGGGTAGGAGTAGCAACAGACTGCCAAGAAGTGGATAGTGACAATCGCCCTAGTGATGACAATAGAGAAACTGGTACTTGGACTGTCTGGGTGGAGACAGAGGAGGACTGTGTAGAGAGGAAGAGGGATTAGGTCCTAATTATAATGAGTGTGCGTTTACGGGTGTAAACGCACACATAAAAAGACCTTGGTGTGTCTACGGGGAACCCCAACAAGGTGTAGTGGTGGCTCCTGGAGAGAGTCATTTTGTGCAGATGGGGTCGGGATTCCACTTAATGGATGACAGATTGTCTGACGAGACCAGAGATAAACTGGACAGCGGTAATGGAGGTGTTAGATGGCCAGTCAGTTGTGCCTTGTGTCCGCCCCTACGGTTCGGAGCAAGGCCAGTGTGTAATCTCCCTTCCTGTGTCCAGATTCTGAGTGGCCAGTGCATACTGATGGCACAGGTGTGCACAGCCTTTAAAATAAAGGTGTTGGACATGGAAAACATCCTAGACTCTTGAAAACTGTACTGCATCGTTCCAAACGGACAGGGGGTTTGGGTGTTCCCAATCTCTTGCAATACTATAAGGCAGCACGGGTGGCTCAGCTCTCCTCTGTGTATGACCAGGGATACACACCAGATTGGATCCTAATGGAATCTCTCTCTGCCTCGGGTACACCAATTGATGCCTCTAAGCCTGTCCCTGAGGCAGAGGCCGGTCATTCTGGCCCCGACCTTGTCTTGTTCTATGATGGTATGTGACTCATTCCGAAGGGGAGGTGGGTTGGTGTCGCCTCATACTCCTCTGGCTCCGTCTTCCATAATCTTAATTTCCCCCTCGGGGGATCTCCTGGAGTGTTCCATTGGTGGTAAAGAATACCGCATTATGCGGTAAAGAATACCGCATAGCACAATTCTTTAAAGGTCGTAAGCCACTTACTTTGACCTACTGTCGGGAGGTTTTGCACATGCCATCTTCTGAATACTTTCACTATAGACAATTGTTACACTTTTTAGGTTCTCTGAAAACACCTAACGTGATGTCTCCCTTTAAAACAACCTACGAACATTGGTGTCTTGGAGCTGGGGCCAAAACAGCCCCCAGAG